TAAGGTCTCCTCAGAGCCTTCTCCAAGTTTTTCTTTCATGGTGGAGCAAAAGAGAAGATACTAAATGAAATGCACAATGAAATTATATTTGTCATCTGAAATACAGTGTATCTATCTTTTATAATCCTTACTGTTTGACACTGACACAAAAAACATAAGGGAAATAAGGGTGAGATTCACAGTTCTCTTAGGTACCAGAGCGGATGCAGCCACCACTGGTGACTGAGAACCACACACACAGATCTTGCAGAGCCAAGAGAAGAAGGTGGTGCTCAGAGGTGGCTAACATTCAAAAGATGAGACTACACGTCAATGCCATTACAGGATAACACGGGGCAGAGATGAGAAGACCTCTTTCCAACCTCCCTTCTTTCCAGAACCAGGAGTTTGCCCAACTCAACAGCTCCCCTGCTGTTGCAAAATATGTCCAGGCTCTTTTGGAGGTGTTGGAAGGCTGGTTACATGATGGAAAATATGTAGAAGATTTAGCAGCCTTCATGTTCAGCCAGTTAGCAACTTGAGTTCGACAAGAGACATCTTCAGCATGTATATAAGATGCACTTAATTGTTTTGAAGTGATTACTCTAGAGGTAGTCTAGACGTAAAGAAGTTTAAATGCTTGTCCTAAGCACGTGCCTTTTTTTCTATCAAGTTTCCTTTAGTGCTCTAGGTGTGATAATTACTGTTTCTAAACTGCTCATTAAGCTTCTGGAAACAGAGATGCCTGATATTAGTGAGTTTCAAAACACTATTGCACTGGGAGTGCAATTTTCTCCTTGAACTGTGTCTGAAGATTAGCACTTCAGGACTTGTACATGTAACATAATTTTATCAATCTTGCATGCTTTTCAAAACCATCTTTCAAGGAACATTTTTTTATATTATTTTCCATCACGTTGCACTGATATGGAGTATCAGGAGTACTGTTGTGGCTGGGAACTTAGCTCTAATCTTTTGCTGTTCTTTGCTATGAATAGTCCTCCTTTAAAATTTCTTTCTGATAACAAGAAATACCTTTTGGTTCCAGAAGGACCGCACCACACCCCAGCACAACCAGAGGATATTGCCCTGACATTGTGCTTCCTCTTCTCAGACTTCTACAAATGCCCTCCATGATGCTGGGAGCAGTGGAAAGAAGGCAGAGACACTTCTCTCTGTGTCAGATGAACCCTTCAATCGTTTGTCCAAAGGACAGTACTTCGGAAGTAATAATTAGGGCTGAGGAGTGTTAGAGGCTTAAAGGACTTGTTCCCTGCTGACAGAAAGAAGCAACAGCTACAGAAGGCCTGCAAGTTTGTTATGTGCAAATCAGTACTGAAGTCAAACCTGCTATGCTGGCTTACAACAGCTGGGCAATTCTACCCAGCATTTTTCGGACATCCTGAAGTGTGACTTGCTGAGACAGGTATGAAAAGGAGAAGACTGCAAGGGAAGGAATCAACAATGAACATGGAAGAACAGAAAATAAATAACAAGAGGCTTTTCTAAGAGGTTCTGGTACGACGATCAAAGATGATTAATTAAAATTAAAAACCTGGAGATGTTGAGTTTCTGGGAGTTACCTACCAGATCTGAGTCTCCTTTATCTGAGACACTCTTTTCCTTTACTACCATTGGCAAAATTGTACTATTTTTTAAGGGATTTGTTCAGTAACAAACCGTGGCCAAAGACACAGGGAACAGATGCAATCAGTTCCTTTGAAACCAAGACTATCCACCTAGTCTGAGTTTTACTCTCAGCGGGTATAATATAACTGAAATTTCCATTTATATATTTAATGCAGGCTGTTGCATATGCTAAAGGATACACCCTACAGGGTATTTAAAACATGAAAAGCTGTCGGTCAGGTTCTGGCTTACATTTGAAAAAACTCAGCCATGCATTGATAAACAAAACAACTGGCTTTCAAGTGATTTGGCTTGGTGGTTTGCAGTTTTTTTGTTGTCTGCATAGAATACCTAAGTCCTTTGAAAAAACTACATTATACATTTCTGTGTCAGCCTTCCCTGCTAAGCCGACAGCAGCCAAAAGCCCTTTATGAGCAGAAACACCTGTAGATGTTTCTCATTTTTGTGTGCATACTTCGGCCTGTCAGAAGGCATTCCTCGACTTGCAGCTCTTCATGCAAAGTCAGAACTAACCCTTTTGTTTTCTGAGACCATGGGATAAATATTTTGGCCTCTGGGCACCATCGCTGGGAACTGCTGCACAGGGTTAGTTAGAGCAGCAGGTAGACGGTTATAAAAACAACTCTTGAAAACGCAGAGTATGTTTCTTGTCTGGTGATGGAAAATCTTCAATACTGACCAGCACAGACAGGCATGTTTGTGGCTTTTAGGCAGGGGGTGCGGTGACTCTTTGGCTCCCCGTGGCCACAGGCTGCAGAGCCACCTCGGGCAGCCGCAGCCACGACGGCCCAAGCCCGGCTTTGCCGTCTCTGCAGCCGCCAGCAGGGCTGGCACCCACCTTCACCACAGCGAAAGCCGTCCCACCCGAGCCTGTTCCCGGCTCTTGCCCCACAGGTCACGATTTGAACCCCAGTTCACAAACAATCACGATTCGAATCCCAACAGAAAAAAAACCAAAACCTCTCCAGAA